CAAGTTTGTCGTCAAGTGTCATATTTTAATGATCTAGCTCATAATAAATTAAATTTTGTCCTAGATTTGCATTTTTTTTGGCGATGCAGCTTTTCTTCAAGCAATTACAAAACATGTTACTCATACGATTGTTTTAGAAATACAAATGAAGGAAAGATATTAATTTTAAACTTACCCGGTGCTTTCCTGTCTTGTGAAGGTTCTGGAAAATACTGATCAACACTAGTGTACAGTTCAAATTGTGACGAAGTTATGGGGTCTGATTGTGTTTCAACCATTGGCCTAGGGCTACTTATAATATTGACTGTGTTTTCAACACCGTCTATCATTGACAGGCCAATACAAGCTAGACCTAAAAATAAAACAGTTATGAAAATTTGAAAGGTAACAAGGTTACAAAGCTTGTAACTTGAGTATTTTGAGGGCACCTAATATCTAGACCAAAATTTAAGAAAGATATTTTGAAATAGTGAAGAAAATATTAAAGCCATCACCTAAATGGCCTTGTCAGCAGTTGGCCATTTTTGATCAGATGACAAAATTATTGTATGTGCATGTGTACATGTATGTCTAAAACAGAATTTGTCAAAAAGAAAATGCCTGACAGTCAGCCATTTTGAGTTGAATTTACAGATCAAAGTGGTATAAAACAACTATTAAAAATAAAGTAAATGAGCTAACACATGACTAGTATATGGATAGGATATGTCAATATCACCACATGTGCATATGTGTGAGTTTTGAAGAGAGCGAAGACCAGAGGCCTGAGAACGCTTGTAAATACCCTCACACAACATAACATGTTTTTCCACTTTTACTGATTGACAGCTTATGCATTCTCTGTTCAGTACAGATGGAAAACCATGTGAGAGAGTTTACGAGCATTAACAGTCCTCGAGTTTGAAATGCCTGCGCAATTAGTATATCGACAAATTAGGCCTAAGGACTGTCGACAGTCTAACCCTTATATGTTATAAATCCTTTCTAAATCCCATTTTTAGTACTGTAAAATCTGTATTAAAAACCACGACTTCTATTAAAATGGTACATGTACAATGCAACAGAAGGTATGCAGCTTCTATTAAAGTATCTACACATATGAGAATTAATAAATTTTTGGTTCTCAATTATTCAAAAATAATTGGTGCGACTTCTATTAGGGATGCGGCTTCTAATACAGATTTTATGGTACACATCAAGTGTATCAACAATCTGACCTTTTCCACCATCAGAATGTGGTCTGTGATATATGAACACATGTTTTTCCGGTATTTCTTGATCAGTGTGTCTTTTCTCCTTCATGGAAAAGGCCTGAAAGTGATTTTCTGGATTACCATCCAAGTACTTTGGGTGATGAAGGAATTGTTGTAAATTCTGACGTAAGTAGTACCCAATAGCATACATTTGAGATGACCAATACTGAGGTACAATAAAATAGATACAGGTTGTAGGGGCTTCACCACGGGGCTGAATAAACTGCAAATGAAAACAAATAAACAATAGATACTTAGCTTTTACACAATTAATACATAAATTGTAATTTTTGTCACTTCTACAAAATGTTGTCTTCATCAAAGTGTGAATGTTTTATGTTTCTTAAATTATGCATATACATTTTCCAATGCACTTTCAAGGTTTATGCGCATCGAAGATTTTCAAATATTCAGTCATTTTCTTTAAAAATTACCTATCTTGGCACTATTTTAGGGTACAAAAAGGTCACACATCCTGGCACTTTTTTAGGGTACAAAAAGGTCACACATCCTGGCACTTTTTTAGGGTACAAAAAGGTCACACATCCTGGCACTTTTTTAGGGTACAAAAAACATTCCAAAAAAAAATTTGTCAATTTGGTTCAAAATTACCAAAAATTAATGAAAAGGCATAAAAATTTTAAATTTGTGTAGACTTGATGAAATATACCTGTACATCGGCTGATGCAAGTTTACACAATGGATTCCTTTCCATCATCATAGCTATCACATCAAGTGTAGACTCATCAAGTCGATTCTTTAAAACTTCTACCAAATCCTTACTGATCTCAGAACCTAAATTAAGTACATAATCAAACAATTAGCAAGACCATGAAAAACAAATCAATTTATGACATGACACAGTCCCTGTGGTAAATACAATATTACTATTGAAATGAGTCAGCCAAATCAAAAGATTGAAAAACATTGTAAAATAACTGCATACATTCAATTTTGAACTTCAAAGGCTATTAGTATTATATTTCACACCGAAATATTGGTGCAAAATTTTGGACATTTAATTTCTATATAATATATACCATAAATTCTCTAATTTGGGGATCTTTTTTTAAACATTTCAATCATTCCTAATGCCTAAAGTGTCTAATTTAGGTTTTTCATAGTCACTGATGCTTATTCAAGAGTACAATGTTCATTGTGGCTAGCATGAATTAGCATGAACATTCGACAATGAACTGTTATCACCATAAAAAGTGTTAGATTCAACTTCATTGCTCAGTTTATCTTTCGAAAACTACTAATTTCTTGATTTAAAACAAATTAATGCAGTTTTCTCATCAAAATCAATGGCAAAAAAATGGTACTACAACATCGGTAAATATCTTTCATGTTACGTTTGTCATGAGGTCATGCCATGGTAATTTGAACACATTTGAACTATCCAGCATTCTGATTGGTCAATTAGTGACTTCTTTGAATAATTTCAGATTCAACTTAATGACATGGCAGATATCGTACTGCACCAAGCACTTGCATGCAACTGAAAACATTCGCTTAAGATGAAACTTAGTTGCATTTCATACAATTCAACCAATTTATTTTTTGTACATTATTATAGTCACTACTGAGTAATAATATACAATTGCAACACCTTGAAATGAAGTATGTTATTCACTAGTGGAATACAGCATGACCAGATTGCACTTACAACACTGTGATCATTTTCTACATTTGCATTCATGTTTGTCTTGATTTGAAACTTCTTTTAATTATACTTTTTTAAAACCAATGCATACTAATTAAAGTATGTTTTATTACGTAGAAATACCAACATTTTTCACTCTTCATTGACGCCTAAATTAGAGATTTTACGGTACATTAGCAGATGATAACAGAATGCCCATATATGGAGAATGGTTTACAGTACTATAGCAGAGTCACTTGATTAGACGAACAGACATTGTCAAGACATGGATGGCTGTACATATTCTCAAAGCTTAACTTACTGGCCTCTGTGATACCATGGACATCTATTTTAATACTTTCACAAACTTCTTTTGATAACGAACTTGTCCTAGAAGTCACAGAAATAGTGTCCAATCCAGAATCTCTCACAGATGGGCGTCTACTACCATTTACCTTGCAATACAAAATAATTAGATAATTATCAACAGAGATCAGTTAATAATGTATTATGGGTAATTTGAGATGATCAAATGTGGGACTTGCATTGAAGTAAATTTTGGAAATATTAAACAAGCAGCCTCTCAGCTGAGATAGCTCCTTGTTAGCAATGTATATTTCAATAAAAGAATTGGAGATATCATCACCATATGAACAAGTTTGAGAGAGGGATACATTGTACGATCTGCTGAGGTCAAAGGTAAGTGATGCAATATAATAGTTATAGAGGTCAAAGGTAACAGTTGCAACATGGTGGTTCAAAAAAGGTCAAAGGCGAGTGTCATAAGTGGTTATGTAGAGGTCAAAGGTGAGAGTTGTAACATGCCAGTTCTGAAAAGATCAAAGGTGAGCATTGTATTGGTTCTGCAGAGGTCAAAGGTGAAAGTTGCAACATTAAGGTTAGGTTAGGCATGGAGGTAAACAAAAAAGAATTCACAGCAAAGCTTAGATCAAAGGTAGCAGGATGATCGTCAAGGTAAGGTCAAGCATGGTATGCATTGTGGGTAAGGTCAGGAATGGTATGCATTGTGGAGCTAAGGTCAAGCGTGGTATGCATTGTGGGTAAGGTCAAAGGTGGTATGCATTGTGGGTAAGGTCAAGGGTAGTATGCATTGTGTGTAAGGTCAAGGGTTGTATGCATTGTGGGTAAGGTCAAGCGTGGTATGCATTGTGGGTAAGGTCAAGCATGGTATGCATTGTGGGTAAGGTCAAGCATGGTATGCATTGTGGGTAAGGTCAAGGGTGGTATGCATTGTGGGTAAGGTCAAGGGTAGTATGCATTGTGGGTAACTTACAGAAAGTTGATCATCAGGAACCAATGACATTAGGGATGATGCTTTGGATACTGCAAAAAAACAGAGGATGCTATTACAAAAATCATGGCAAGCTTTTGTTTACAGTCTGTCAATCATCTTTGACCTTTAAGCATCTGCTTTACTGATTGGCTAAGAATGACATCACTACTAGTGTTTCATCTTTGAGGTCAAGTCAACATTGTTTTCTTATCAGACTAGATGATAATCAATCATGGTGAAAGTTATAATTCAGCAAGTTCCGGCAGTTGGAATGTCTCACTATATGGATATCGTGGTGGGCTTGAAATAGGAAGATTTTTATCTTTCTAATGAAATGCAAAAAATTGGCAGTCTTCAGCGTGACATTTATGGATTCGCAAGCTGCTACCAAATATTTCATGAAGCCAAAATAACATGATTTCAACAACTCTCTAGGCACGGGTTGCTACAATATTGCAACATTGGTTTCATTGTCGATGACGCTAAATCCGAACGAGTGTGACACTTGCTTCATGGCTCTTGTTGCTGTAAGATTTGCTTGAATCGTTTCTAAGGAAGCACAAACCAAACAACCGGCCTTTTTCACAGCCACAACATATTTCAAATATGCTTTAATATACATTTTTGTAGACTTGCTTTCACATTCACCATTTGTTGTACTTAATGGACAATTATTTTTCAATTTTTTTTATCAGAATCACAACAGACTGCAAGGAAGTCAACTGTTAATACAATGAATAAAAATTAGAATGACCTAGAATTAGAATGGATTTAATCTGATTGGCCGGATATACAGTGTGCTATGAACAGCATTTTTCTACCAGTGTTACACCGTAAAATTTCCAAAACATCTATGCTCTTAAATGAAAGATGACAACACTTCTTACCACTATCAGACTTGGGTGAGAGAGGAACATGTGCAGGATATACACTGGTGTTATCTGACTCGTATAATCTGAGTGGAATAAAAACAAAATCAAAAACATTAAAAAACATACTGAAATGGATGCATACAATCAGTACTCAAGTTTTAGTAATCTCTTCTCAATTAATTCTTGAATTCTTACAGTCTAATTTTTGTTTTTGTTTTAATCTACTAAAGATGAAACATATTTGTGCATCACATTTCTTGCAGAATGAGGATTCCTTACCGTAGATAGAAGACATTATTTCCTTTCGTCTCTTTGTACACAAACATGTTTTTTCTATTACTGACTGCCAAATTTAATTGGTGGAGAATGGTTCTAACAGCCTGGATACCTAAATACAAAACAAATTATGAACATAAAAATAACAAGCCATGCATGGCACAGTGCCCGTTATTAAATTTAAGATATATAGTTTTGTTTATAGTAATATATATTTTGAACATAAACATGTCAGAGATATGGATCTATAGATCTTGTCCATATTGAGAGATATTGCTTAGGAACACCATTAGTTAAAACAAAATGGCCAACGAATGAAATCCATCCATAAACGACCAAGATCCGGTTCTGGAATGCCAGAAATGTTTTTGATGTTTTTTTTAGCACAAAAATGGCCACTATATTGAATCCGATCATCAAACCAATACATCTGTATATCTACAATATGTTGTATAATGAATAAATACAATTTGAAACAAAATATGTCAGAGATATGGCACTAGAACCGCATTCTTTAAAACAAAA